GTAAAACACTCTTGTCTATGTTATCATGGTACAATTCAGGTAGCTGTCGCCTTCTTCCCTTTAATTTAAAGCACCGAGTTGCTGTTTTCGTCTTTCTATTTGCTGCCTTTCTCTAGCATGAGAGTGACTCTGACACCAATAGACAAACTGGAAGGATTGAATAAAACAAGTATAAAGTCAACTTTTAAACGTATCAACCACTCGCTGTCAAATGTTACGCGAGAAAAAAAAACATAAATTTTGGAAAACTAGCCACTGATGGATCCCATCAAGTGGCCTCTTTGCAAATTTTCAGACCACGGTCCTTGGCCCCTTCCTTTCGCCCGCCCCCTCCCAAGTATGTGAAAAACGCAACTTAGTTCCAAATGTCTTACATCTTTAACGGATACGTCGAGCATGGTCAACGTTGTCGCCAACAAACTTCGGACGTCTTCATCTTCCCTCATGCTGTCCACCTCTTTCTGCCAGTGGCAAAATGGATGAGTGGCCACGTAACCAGGGGGTTCTTTTTTGACCTGTAAAGAATGCTTAGCAAGGAATAAAAATGTTAAAATCAAAGGAAGACTTCTCCTGCATTTTCAATCCAATGCAAAAGAAATCTTTACCTGTACACGTAAGCCGTCCTATATAATAATTAGATTATGAGCTAAAGGCGATTTTTCTTTGAGGTGCTGTGATTTATATTTTACACATAATCATTATATTATTAAAAGTGGAATACATCTACTAAAGTTTCAGAAAAAAAAATAAGTGACGTGAGTTCCAAACTGTACCGAAAATCGCTAAATTAAAGTGTCGCTTGATACAAATTTTCAAAATGACTAAATTAACTTGTATACTTCTTTCTTTTTTAGCAACAATGCTGACATCAGCATTTTTGACTCAGATTCAAGCCTAATTATCTCTAAAAAATGTATGGTTACCCCAGGTTATTCTTTGAATTTTAATGAACATTGCTAAGGTCTCCTTTTCTCCCCACAGTCTGTCTTCATACCCGCACTAATTTATAGACTGGCCTAACTAAAAGGAGACTACGTACCATAGAGACATTGGCGTCCCATTTGAACTGATCAAATTCCTCAAAAAAACCAGCCTTTTCCATTTCGGTAAAATCCGTGCATAAGCGCGGATTGTTGACATTGATGCTTTCACGGTTAAGAGCCACGATCATGATACCCGGCTGTGGTATGTTTGGGTCTTTAAAGTACTCTCTCATATGTACTGCGAGTAACCTCCTATAAATCAGGCACTGGTGAAGTTTAACATTGTATTCAGTTGCGAATTTCCAAAACGTTCCTGCATGCCTACAAGTGATCCAATCCAAAACTACCACACCACAACCATCCTTGTCATTTCCGTTCATTAGGCCAAT